TAAGCGACATTGCTATAGGAAATGATCGCGATCCACTTGTATGATTATAGGGGAGCATACCCCTATTTGCTTTACCAGCCGTAGACCGTTTCTACAAAAATATTAAAAAAAAAAAAAAGAAGAACATGCTTTACTAAGTTTCAGTGAAGAAGTTGTACATCTATTAGTGAAGAAGTTTTACATATTAACACATAAATTAATTTCAATAATGGCCTTTCTAATTTATTTGTTACCAGGTGAGATTCGTCTTTCCAAGCAACATCAATCAAATATTTCCAGTCCTCCAAGCTCACTCCACTAGGCGGACGACTATAGGGGTCATCAACACCCTTTTCCTCAAGTTCGAGGAACTCTTGCTTTAGATTGTACCTCCAATCCTTGTATAGCAAATATGCCTTCCTATCGAGGATCTGTTGAGCTTGTTCATCGTTATCAAAATCATCGCCGATAACAAACTTGTCCTACAAACATAGATACAGAATTAGTTGAACAATTAATTTAACGAAGTACAAATTATATAATAAAGACATTATGGCAAGATGAATGTCATACTAGCACCGCTTGGATGACCGCATCTTTGGTACTTTGATCAATTTTTATCCATGACTTCACGCTCTGAAGAGGGCACAATCGTCTAATTTGAAGGCCCAACTCATTCGTCGCTGGGGTTGCATTCCCTCCCGTGATTGCGTTCAACACCCGATTGACGTAGACATGTAATTTCTCCCCCTTTTTCCTAGCAATTTTTTTCTGCACGCCTTTGCCTAATGTAGGTCCTCGAACACGAGTTGACCTCGTTTGCCCTACTACAAAAGGGGAACGTTGTCAACATTACAAACATTGCTAATGGAGTACAAAAAGAAAATGCTGCACGTAAAGTCCTGTCACTTTTTTTGCTGCCTACTGTTGCTGCCAGCTACTGTTTGTGGATATAAAATCGGACGTTAATTATGACTACTGTTGCTGGCAGCTACTGTTGGGCTGCATACAATCTTGGAAAATTATGCGACAACTTGGATAAAGTGTTGGTAAATTATGCATAAAGTCTTCGTAAATTGTTATGCCGACTGTTGCTACCAACTTGGAAGGTTGTGTACCTAATATTTTATTTGTTGTGTAAGTGTCCTTGTTATGTGTATATTAATGTTTAGTTTTTTTTTCCTTTGTTTTTATTTGCCTTTATGGGGTTTTCATTGCCTTACTTGATGACTTATGTACCCCCCCCCCCAAAAAAAAAAACCAAATTTTTTTTAAACAACTAAATAGTATGCTCTTACCCACTCCACCTGGCTGCGTCTCCTCCACCACAGTTTGTGTATCATCTGGTGGTTGCGTCTCATCAGAGAACATCATCGGGGTGCCACCCTCCTGTGGACATGCTTCAGATGTTGATAGTATGTTGCCACTTGTTGCTCTCTTCCGTCGGCCTGTCTTGACTCCCGGAACCATTGTACCTACATTACGTAACAAACATACATGAGTAATAAACATTGCATAAATTAGTAGTGTAATTGCTGCAATAATGACACAACACTGTCTACTCAATAATAAAATGCTCGTTAAGCAATGGTAAACTAAGAGAACATGATGGTGATACACATTACTAAATTTGCGAATCATGACTCACTGCTGGCATTACAAAAATTATGAGCACAGCAATTTCTCCTTTGTTTAAGATGTATTTTATACCTTCAAATCATTGATGTGGTCTCAAAAGTAGTGTTTACCCTTAAACATGTGATACCCATATGACGTGGTATTTTTAAAATATGAAATACTCTATATATGATTTATTATTAATAATTTCCTACTTACATACAGTTTTAATATAATATAGCCAATAATGAACATTCCCATATCAATTAATCTAGCAATGTCCTTCCTACTCAAACCCATTTATTCTGAAATTTTTAAAAATAGATTTGTAATTATTTGTATTAGGTTCCCATAGCTATAAATGTAATTTTTTTTTTGTATATTTGCTTATTGTTTAAAAATAATTTTATTAACTAATCAATTGCATAAGTTAATAAATATATATTTTTTACTATCTTATAATTTCATATTAGTGGAAATCTCAAGGAACAAAATAATATCAACTCAATCAGAGAGAAAGGATATTATGTCAAGTTACCCGAGGAAGCTGCCCGGCAAGAACACCGAAAAAGCCTGTTGTCCCTACCACCGTAAAGAGAAAAGATGCCTGCATGACTGAATGAAATCAAATTCATGGAGAATATAATATTTACGAATTATGATGGTTTACATCTTGCAAAAATAAGAAAAGAAAATCAAATGGAAGGCACAGGTGTCATCACATTCTACTCTTGATTCCCCAAAAGTACAGAATGAAATTTATGCAATGGAATGTATGCTCTTTTATTGTTATAGGTTAAACAAAACATTTAGTGTAGGGCAACTTACATCATTTCTAACACTTGGGATTGCAAGGTTCTCCGCGTTTTTAATTCCAAGAGTTGTCAGCTCCCGAAGAGAGGTCTGCTGCATAAATTTGAAACAGTTAAACTACATATTGTGAGACCAAGTACACTAATTACTGAAGTTTTCAAAGCAGTAAACAAATGTACATTATTTATGTACATTTACGCATACATTCGTAGACGTGGCTAATGTTTGAGTAGCACTTTCCCAAAACTTCACACTTGTTATGGACACTGACCATACGACGTGATACATATGGTTGAGAACTCCATTTGTTTGCCCAACCAACTTCCCTCAGCTGAGCAAGTGCCTCTTTGACAGCATCACTGTCTTTCTGCAGCAAATCATAGAGTTACTTCAGTAAAACTTGTGTGCATTGTGGTCAGAGACCAATTACAATTTTCCCTCAGCTGAGCAAGTGCCTCTATGTCATGTTTTGGTTTTTTTGTTTGTAATTGCCAATGAAGAAAGGATCACAGAAAAGTAACAGCAGTGCCAGATTTGCTGCACAGCCCCCACTAACAGTTGAGTAAAATTAATCATGAATTCATGGTCCTTCCATGCCTCACCATCAGCTGGATGTCGCAGTACTCCATCATCCACACGCTTATCTTTGTGCCATCTCATATCTACAGCTGTTTTTTTCGACATGTAAAATCTCTTCAACCTCGGTGTCAAAGGAAAGTACCTCAGTATTTTCTGTGGAATTTTTTTACCCGTCTTGTCGTTCAACTTGTATCTAGACTCCGTACATGTAGAACAATTCTCCAATGTGGCGTTGTCCTTCCAAAATAAAGTACAATCATTCTTGCATGCATGAATGGCCTCATATCCCAAACCCAACTCACGTAAGAACTTTTTCGCTTCATAAAGGGTCCATGGAACATTTTCATGACACTTTGGGAGAATGTCTTTGAAAACTTGCATAACCATATCGAAAGATTTGTTGCTCCATTTATTGTACACCTTCACGTGAAGCATCTTAATTACGAAGGACAAGATGGAAAACTTTTCACACTCTGGATATACTTGACGTTGAGCATCATCGAACAACTTCATGAACTTAAACAAACTGTGCCTCTCTGAACTAGTACGTTCTCCGTCGATAGGATCATCCATGAGACCACTCATGTAAATCTCTTGTAACATGGTTGGAAGTTCATCCACATTTAAGTGATTGGTTGTCATTCCAGCTCGGTCGGTTTGAGTATCATCGTTTCGCATAGTAGGATGACCACGAAATAGGGGGACACGTTCCCCGTGGTGGACCCAAGTGCGATAAGAACATACGATTCCTCTTCGAAGCAAGTGCAACCGTATAACATGTCGAGGTAATTTCGTGCCGTTCAAGCAATCAACACAAGGACAACGGATTTCATCCTGCGGCCCTAAATTCTTCGTAGCGAACTCCAAAAATGACTGAACACCTTGTACATACTCTTTGCTTTTTAGCCTATCTGTTATCATCATCCAACTCTTTTCCATTCTTGGAATAGTACACATCAAGCGAAGATGAACCTGGGAATCGACAGGGAATTGGAAAAATACTCTGTAATGGAAGAGAGCTTAAGTAAGTTTAGCATTTTTCACTCTAATTTTGACATTAAACAATATCACAAGAGCACTCAAGAAGTAGAGATGGCCCAAGCCTATTGAGGGCCTAGACAAATGAAATGTAGTTAGAATATGGTTTGGTGCCTTACATTGGCCATTGCCATTCTATTATTGTTCCCATTCTATAGTAAGATAGTGCAACTTCTTGTGCAACTTAGATTGTGAAGTTAGGTGCTTCCAGAATCAATGGTATGGTTGAAAGGGTACAGATATCTCGGGAGATCCGAGAGATTATTTTTCATCTGTTTTCAACAAACTATGAGTGAAAGGACGACCATGTTCTGTAATCGTCACATTGACCAGATTATCGTCTATTGTTTCTATGGAGTTCCAAAGGTTTGCAGTGCAAAAATGTGAGAGTAATTAGGATATTGAGTAATCACACTTTGTAATCCTAATTTCTTATGTGACGGCCACATATTTCTGAACTAAAGTTGACTTTTAAAGAAATAATTTTCAACTATAGAAATGAACGACAGTGTAAACCTCAAGTTTTTCGTAGTGTGTTTCTTGATTGGTCATCAACACGCCGTGATGGGGTATGTGTTCATAATGTATATGTTTCTCCGTTGCGGTCATCAAAGGTAGTTCTATATTTTTTGAACTATCTTTGTCTTACTCTTCTTGAAATGTGTAGAGAGAAGTACTGAAATATCTGAGTTTTAAGTCAGACAATAATCTAAGGGTCATGAAGAGTATAGACTACAAAAACAAACGAATGTGGATGTGTCTAATTGTTTTAAGAGGAGAATGCAAATAGTTTATAATGTTAAACTTCCAATTCTTTAAGGCCCAAGAAATATATATTGAATTGAGGTGTTTCAAACAACAACTACCTAACCCAATGTACATGCGGAGCTGGAGTATATCACTTGTCTTTCGTCTCTTGAATAAAGTGGTCAGGGGCTTATTCTGAAGTGTTTTGGTGGATAGGAATTGGGATAGATGATCTCATACTATGATCATCAGGCTTATTCTCAACTGATTTGGTGGTTACACTTCGAGTTAGGGGAGAGCAAGGTTGAATTTGGTTTGGTTTTGAAGTAAACTAACATCGAATTATTAGCTATGGTTTTATGAAATTTGGAATCAAACTGAATCTTGAAAATATTGAAAGTTTTCAACCAAACTATGAAAATGAGATTCATTTCAATTTGGAACTACGATTTCTATAAATATATTTACATAAATGGAACTAAATTTCAAATAAAAATCATAACTATAAAATCATGGACCTAACTGTCAATAATTAGGATTGAATCGAACTGATTTGTGGTTTTTTAAAAAAAACAATTTCTTTTACTTAATTCGAATTTGAGTCACACCATCGGAACGTTTGAAACATGTTCGATGCAAAAAACAGAGGCACATTTATACTAATAAGACTAACTCAGGAAAAGCATCCAAAATCAACAAGTGTGTTCAAAAAACAGAGGCACATTTCGAACATTTTTGATACAAAAAACAGAGGCACATTTCGAACATTTTCGATACAAAAAATAGAGGCACATTTATAATGATAAGACTAAATCAGGAAAAGCATCCAAAATCAACAAATGTGTTCAAAAACAGAGGCACATTTCGAACATTTTCGATACAAAAAACAGAGGCACATTTCGAACATTTTCGATACAAAAAATAGAGGCACATTTATAATGATAAGACTAAATCAGGAAAAGCATCCAAAATCAACAAATGTGTTCAAAAAACAGAGGCACATTTCGAACATTTTCGAACCGATTTGGAACATTTCTCCAAAACAGAGGCACATTTAAACGATACAAAAAGAATCCAAATCCAAAATCGAAATGGACAATCTGCAATGTCAACCACACCCATTCACGAAGTCAGGAAAAGCCCTAAAAATTTGTGTACGAAATAAATGGAAAATGAAAGGACAAAAACATGTCAAACCCTAAAAGTAATCGGCAGAGAAGGGGATGGGAGAGACATCGACAACCAGATAGAACCAGATCGACAGAGAGGGAGAGAGACGACAGAAACATACCTGCGATGGTGATGATCGCCGATTTGCAGTGGTGCTGGTGGCGAGCGCCGGTGGCCTGCGATGGTGATGATCGCAGGTGGTGAGCGACGGGTTTGGTAGGGACGGGTTTGGTATGTTGATGTCGGTGTGTGAGAGGGAGACAAAAGAGAACAAAACACAGTGTGTGCAATATATATGTACTGGGCGCGAAAATTATTTATTTTCCCTCTAAAAACAAAATTCGAACATTTAGCGACTAAAGGACAATTTGTCGCCAAAATGCATGTTTGGCGACAAAAAATTGGTCGCCTAAAGATTCCTTTTTGGCTACTAAACTCAAAAATTCGTCGGCAATACTGAATGTACAACGACTAACCCAGATTTGGTCGTCAAAAAGTAATCACAAAAATACCCTTTTTTTGGCGACAAAAATGTTTAGTCGCCAAATTAAACCATACGGCGACAAAATGAAATATTGGTAGCCTAAGTGGGTAACAACAGCGACTAAATGGAAACTTGGTCGCCAATGATACTATATGGCGACGAAAACACGTTAGTCGCCAAAAGGTTTCAATCAATGCCGACCGAAGCCGATATTTGGTCGATGAATGTGGTGTTTTTGGCGACTAAAATTGGTTTGGTCGCCAATTTTAGTCGCCAAACATGCATTTTCTTGTAGTGGAGGGTTATCCCATTACAGCAATGCTAGGTATCATGAAAAACCTTTCATGAAAATAATCATGAAAGCTTTGTGACCCTTGGATTATACTTAGAATAAAGCACCACACACTAATCAAGGTAATCCAATGATCATAAATCTTTCATGATCCCTAACTTTTTTCATCCCCTCAATCAAGTTTTTCACATCACTAGGAATATCGAAGGAGAGGTTATGGAAGTTCCAATAGGTACTTACCCAATAATCTCTTACTTTGAGGCAATCCTCATTACGGTTGAATGGACCTTCGATCAAATTCCTAAGAGGGCAATTACCTACCCAACGGTCACACCAAAAGGAAGTGTTGTTACCATTGTGGACAAGTATTTTACTTCCTTGGTTAAAACTCTCATTCCCATGCTTAATGTTATTCAAGGTGACCAAGCTCCGATTGACTAAGGACTTCTGATTAGAATATTTAGAGCTAAGCACTTTGGCCCAGAGTTTGTCTTTCTTAGTGTGGAGTCGCCATTTGAGTTTGGCCATGACTACATTTTTAACAAATTTTGCTTGTCAAATCCCCAGACCCCCTAATCTTTTTTAGGTTTTGTGACCTTATTCCAATTAACAACATGAATTTTACGATGGGTTTGAGTTGAGCTGTGATAATCCTATTCTGCGTTATGTTAATTAATCTTAATTATGATTGTGATTATGTGTCTGATATGATTTTGAGTGCCAATTATATGATTTTATGTGGTTTTGAATTTCTATCTGTTCACCGTAAGAATATATGTTTGATTTTCTGCTATAAGATTAAATTAAAGGCCGTAAAGGTGTCAGAAACTAAAATTGATCGTATTTTTGTGATTAGCATAATTTTTAGAGCCTACGGTGAAATTTGATTAAAAATTAATTCGTAACAAAATAATTAGATTAAATCGATTAAATTAAGTACAATTAATTAATCTTAAGTGAGTTTGATTAGTTTAACCTAATCACTTAGCTTCTATATGGGCTAATTACACCCAAACTCATATAATGAGCACAAGAGGCTGAAAATACACTCTAGAGAGAGAGAGAG